GAATTTTCAGTGCTGCCTAATATTTTTATGGAAACCATGATGCATGTTTTTCAGGATTCTTAATGCAATTAATGCATCCTTTCTAAAAAAAAAAAAAAGAATTCTTACTGTTTTTAGCTTAGAATTTTAGTGTTTTCACTAAATGAGCACATTTATTTAAAAGCATATTACAATATGACAATACACTAAATGCAATAGTATGTAGCAAACTGTAATGTTTACCTTTAATTATTTTTTTGGTCTGATAAAAAAAAAAAATTATGCGATGACTTCTAGAATAAGTGTTTTGCACTCATTTATTGAAACAGACAAATTCAAAATAATGGCTTCGTGGAAATGAATCAAATAATTAAGTTGGTTAATTTTATATTGCCAATGAAATAATATTGAATTCAAATGAAATATTATGTCATCAAACCCTACTAGTCTAGATTAGATGTTTTTCATGATCATGTTTCTGAAGTCTCTTATTGATAAACGCGTGTGTTTGTTCTTTCTGTGATTGGTGCAGTAGAATCATGCAGCAGTTGTTCCTGCAGGCCCGCTGCGAGGAGACGCTGGTCACCTCTGATTGGGGGATTCCGCTGCTGGTCTCCCTGTTGCTGCTTCTGCTTGTTTACGCCTTCCTGTATCTTCCCGCCATCTCTTATCGAGCTCTGCTTCAACAAGCGCTAAGTAACCACACTGAAGCCATGCCCCTGGAAAATAATAAGACGGACTGAGGATTGTACGATTCCCATGCCAAATGTTGAATCATGCATCGTCCAATCATGAGAAGAAATGGTTCAGCATTATTAAACATTATAAACTTTCATCAGAGGAGGCCTGAATGGAAGAAACAATCACATCTACTGCTTTTATAATTATTGTGCTATTTTGACAGACAATATTGTGAATATAATCCAACTCTTTAATGTCCAGTCATGCTAATTCACAGCATGCATTTCCATATATATATGAAGACTTTTAGGCAATTTAATGTGAGATGCGATGGCATATCAGCAGCACAGAGATATTGTAGCATCTGGATTTTATCTAGCTTTTACACTGGAAGTAAACTTGTAACCTTTCATTGCTATCCTGTTCTCTAGAAATGGAAGAACCATTTGATTTTAATGCGAAAACAGCAATAACAACATAATATATAGGAACAAACACACAAATTGTGAACTGCTCCAAATTTTTTAGACTGAACATTCTCCAACTGTCCTAAAGAAATGACTTTGTGTATGTGACCCGGAATACCCCGCACAACTAATCCTGCTTTTGGATTTTCATCTGCTTGTGTGTATTGCACATATTGTTTAATGTACTTTTATTCCTGGAAAAGTGTTTTACCTTCTGAGTAAGAGGGATTATTTAGCTCACCCGCTTTCCACTTTATAAACCATCTCATATTCATTTTTCTTTATATCCCTCCTCGTTAGATTCCCTTGTTCAGGTTCACCTTGGAGTAGTGCTCATGAATAATATTATTATGTTATGTAAAGGTCTGTGCTGTTAGGACTAGTTGTACATTAAATGACCTGTGTGTGTGTTTCCACAGTAATGTAGAAGATGTGGTGCATTTTCCTGGTTTGCCTCCCCGGAGGCAGTTAACCTATCAGGTGAAGCAGCTGATCGCCAGGGAGACAGAACTAGAGAGGATGAGGAGGGTAGAGAGAGCCCAGCAGAAACGAAACCCACAGAAGGTAAAACACACACACACAAAGTTTGATGCTTGGCTTTCAAGTGTGTTTTGTATTATTTTGTTTGGTTGTGTTTTTTTAAGATTATTTTTTGTCTTTAAAAAAACTATCTGTTTCACCACTCATTTGCAGTGTAAACTTGAAATACGTTCCAATGCACTTTTTTTTGGACTGCAACATTATGACTTGGCTACAGTTTTGTCCGACTTCAGTCATACCAGTCCAAACTTTTGCGAAGTTGGACTAACAGACCTAGATAATGTAGCTCGACTTCATCTAGTATGTACACTAGACCGAGGTGAGGCGCAAAATGTATTTAATCATTTAGGTATTGTGTTGTGTGTATGTTCAGCCCCAACACAGGCTACAACTATACAACATATAATATGCAGAGCTGTAGACAATCATATTTTGTAAACAGGATTGTCTAAGTTTCAAAGCATTTGTTCTCTGCGTTCAGACGGAGACCGTTAAAAAGGACCAAGAGGGGAAGAAGACAGAAGTGAAGAAACAGACAAGCAGGAACCATCAGCAGAGGCTGGAGAACATAGTTAAACAGACTGTGGTGGAAAGCAGGGTAAAGTATCTATATTAAACCACCTTAAATCCTTTACATCTGTCCTTAAACAACCTCCCCATACTAATAAAAAAATCCCATTTTAAAATGTATTTTCCTTAAGTCCACTCCACCATTGAATATTATCATAGCAAATTCAATGCTGGGATTGGTGATTCACAACTGATCTGTAACTAATGAGTTTTACATTATTGCAGATAATAATGACAAAAAATTGTAAATAATAATTTGTAAATATTATATGCAATAATATAAAACTAATTGTGAATGTGCCATGATAAAGAGATAATATTTACAAATTGCAGTGCTAATTATAGATTATATTCATAACCTAATTTAAAATGCCAAATGCCAGACGTTGGTTTTTGCTCTGAACTATTTCGAAAATTCGCCCCTTTATCCATTTTACAGTGATTCTGTGCCACCATGTTATATGATTGTCCTTATACTGGTTCTCTTCGCATATGCTTGACTTATGCTTCATAATAATCCAAGATTAATTGGGTAAATAGCGGATCAGGGTCGAAGTGCTCACATGTGATGACTTGTTTATTTATCCTTTTCATGTTTAAAGCCTGAATTGGATTTCTTTGGACGAGCCATTGTACCCAAGGAGAAACCTGTGGTCACCACTACAAGTGTGTTGTTGTTGTTTGTATATATATATATATATATACATTCGTACAATAAATCGAAGTCTTCTGCATAACCTAAATGCTAAAAATGAGCTGATCTCACTTCTCTCTGCAGGTGAAGATGGTAAAGGAGGTGGAGTGATGCATATCGGTAAAGCTGTGGGTAACAGTGATGTATGGTTTCGTTTCAATGAAGGTGTGTCCAATGCAGTGCGCAGAAACGTTTACATTCGGGAGTTACTTTAAAGTGATGTGGGCGAGAGAGAAGACGAAGCTTTATGAATGTTAATTTTCCACCTTAAATCAATACACAAAAAAACAAAAATGTTCTGAACCTTGTACTGTATAGTTAAAAAACAAACATCTACAATGTGAATAAGAAAAAGCACGGGTTCCTCTTTGTTTTGTTTTTTATTGTTCTTGTATAGTTGTCTTACACTTTTATAAATACATGTTTTCACTGAATAACAACAGATTTTCTTTCTTTCTATTCATAATGTCGTGGCATGATAAGCGTAAACAACAAAGCAGATTTACATTTGCATGTTTGTCCATCCTAGTCAAAGTCGGGCAATGTAAACATGACAATGGGTGGAGTCGCTCCTGTTACCATAGTGATGAATGACAGCTCTTGCGCTATATTATAACACATTTGCTTGACTCCACCCATGGGTTGTCCTTCAGTATATCTGGATTCAGAAATGGATCCTCATTCATTTTCTCCTCAATCCATTTAGTTAATCTGAAAATGAATGGATAATAGGAAGATAGAAAATGGCAAAAAAAAAAAAAAAAAAGGTAGCCTGAGATTCCTTGCTTCTGTCAACCCGTATGAATTATTTACTTAATTTACTTCACTAAACTTGCAACTTCACAAATCAAAATACATATTTGAATACTTCATTTAATATTTTTATATTTTTAGCACAAATGTATTACGATTTTTATTTATACAGAATGATTTGCATTTATATATGAATCTGTGCAAATAAAAATACCCCTAGTTGGAAATCCCTGATTTGAAACAATCCATTGCAGTAGATGTTTTATGTTTGATACTCACTCTGGAAGCGAGACCGATGTTTTCTCTCTGTTAAACTGTAGCTGCTGCTTCAGACTATCCACATGGTTCTTCAGCTGAGTCTCATCCAGCTCATCCATCTGAAAAACCAGCCGTCATATTCGTTTCAATCTTATGTCAAAGTCTTTAAGCTAAATTATCTGTAATTGATAGCTAGGTAATATAAAATAATAGTATATAAAATATACAATTAGCCTACCGTACTAAGGTCAGAGTTAAGTAGCTTAGAAGTGAAAGGATTGTTAGGAGTCCTCCAGCAAGTAGCCTGAGTTTGAATGCTTGAGGGTGTCTGTTTTTTTCCCTTTTGTAAATTCCTGGTGTACACAAAGGAGATTTAGATACACACCTGGCCTTGAGGTTATGCAGCATTCAAGCTACTTTGTTACTCAAATTCTCTCTCGTCTACAATCGTGAGTTGTAGTGGGAGGGATGTTTAGCTCTTTGGACTCTGTGCATCTATGTAAAATACATGCAAAACTGTTCAATGATGCCCTTCTGGCTTCACCTAGTTTTTACCAGAGAAACTATAGAATAAATGTTGTGATGTTATCAAGAGAATAATTGTTTTAAATATAGTAGTCACTTGATAACATTGGTAAATGTCCTCCAAAAGCGTAGAGTTAGTTAGATTTTGTGATTTAATTATTGTTGTACCGCATTTAAACAATAATTGTGTTTGGCACAACAGTTGTCCTGATTTTGACACTTGGTTGTCACATACACTACCAATCAAGAGTTTGTGGTCCGTAAGATTTTTTAGAAATAATTGCTTTCATTCAGCAAAGATGCATAACAGTGATCTAAAGTGTTTGTTACAAAAGATGTATAAATATATAAAAGATCTATATAAATATAAATGTTGCTCTTTTGAGATTTCTAGTCATCAAAGAATGTATCTTGAAAAATGTATTGCATTTTCTGCAAAAATATTAAGGAGCACATCTGTTTTCAACATTTATAATAAGAAATGTTTCTTCAGCACCAAATTAGTGTATTTACGAAAGATCATGTGACACTGAAGACTGGAGTAAAAGCTGAAAATTCAGCTTTGCCATCAGAGGAATAAATTATATTTAAAAAAATTCATTTTTTTTTTTAAATGTTTGTTATTGTTTCAAAATATTACTGTTTTCTGTATTTTTAGTAAATGTTACCTAAAGCAACTAGCAACAGCAAAAAGGTTGGCGAAGCTCTCGACTTCCTGTCATTTCTACCTGGGATTTGCGTACTAGTAGAAACATAACCACTGGTGACTTCCACCACGTTAGCTGTTTGGTTAAAAGTGAAGGCACCTGTTGTTAATGAGATCAGGAAGTACTACGAGTGAGCAATGTTGTAAGTTGCTAAGTCTGTCTAAACCCCGCGTCCCTTAAGCCACTTATAATAACACGCCAAATATATCTCTTAGTCATGTGTGCTTTTAGACAGTAGAGTTAAGGCTTGATGTGCCTTTACAAACAGCAATGAATGGTGGTATGATGCAGATCATGTTTTATTCCGAGTCTGATCAATGCTTTATAGACAGTTTTAAATGAATACACTTTGAAAAAGTAAAAAAAAAAAAAAATCCCCATAAAATCCTGGAAATAGGTAAAAACTGAGTGTACAAATCCCTTTTCAACAGAATACTTGCATTACAATTCAAAAACATCACATACAACATCATAAAACTGACATGCATTTGGCAGATGCTTTTATCCATAGTGATTTAAATTCCATTTAAGCAATATATGTTAATTCATGCAATCTGGGAATCAAACCTGTGACCTTGCCTTTGTTAGTGCCATGCACTGTTCAAGCAACAGAAAAGCTATATCCTGCAACCAGTGACGTCAGCCAATAATCCTGTCCATTAACAGGACATTTCATTTTTCCAGTCAGGTCTGAAATATACCAGTAGACGTGACAATGCATTGTTTTCATTGTCATTATAAACTGTAAACATTGAAAGTTCAATTTTTAGTGAATATTGTGTAAAATAAGTGTTGCACTTATATGTATATTCCATTTTCTGCCATTAAACTGTAAGTAATAAATTGCTCTGCATGTATCAGCCATAAGGCACCCAGCTCTTTAGTTGTTGGGATCGACATCAGCCCATTGCAGGACCCATATCAGTCGACCACTACTCGAAACTACCACGTTTTTCAAGTCCGCACAAGTAACAGGACATGGAGCGTCTAATCTATTCGATGCTCTTCTGACTGATTTTGTCCACTCTACCGAGGACCGCAGCTCCGGTAGCATTCTCCACCCCTCGCAACCATTCAGAACATTTCAGCAGAACACTCTGATCCACACTCTGTTCTTCGTCTTCCTCATATTCCACATCATCGTATCGGTGACGCTCATTTAGAAGAGAGATCTTCACCAGTGGGATGTTGGATCGAGAACCTGACTTGGCAAGCAGAGGGTCTTTCTGATGCAGTGCCATTACGGTGCCACGGACGACACGGAGCTGCTTCTCACGGCTACGTTTCCGCAGGACCAAGGTGGCCTCAGGTGTCAAGTTGAGAGAGAAGTGAGATGCATTATTCAGTCCATGGCCTGATCCTGATGAAGCCTGTGGACTACAAGAGTCTTTGGGGATGTTTGTTGCTGAAACGCTGGCAGGAAACAACTTCTTGCTAGAGGATTTCACTGAGTAGGTTGCCAAATTGGTTGTAGAGGTACTATTACCAGAAATACTTTTAGAAGTTGGGGTGGAGGAACTTGAAGGATCGGTGTTTTTTGGAGTCATAATCCAAGCGCTTTTACCCTCCATCCTCAAGCCAGATGTAGCTCGACAGGTGGGCAGCTTACTTTTGTGTGGTGTGCCCTTCTTGCTCAACTTCTTGAACCGTTCCTTCGCAGAACCTTTCTCCTCCACTGTCTTGAACAGAATCACAGGCGATGGTTCTGCGAGTTTCTCTTTGCCCAAGTTGGAAAGACTCCGTGGTCTTGTTACAGGTGGGAAAGGCATCTTCACCAGGTAGAGCAGCACGTAGGACAAAAATTCAGTTTTGGAGGTATAGTGTGACAGAAATTGGACATGATTTTTCGCATGATCAGGACAACCCGTTATTTCCAGAGCCCCCAACATCCACTTCTTTCTTCAGACAATCAGGGAATCAAACCATTCCCAAGGTGACCGACACTGCGGAAATAGCATGCAAAAATAGTCTGGCTCTTTATAGGGTGTTGGGAAAGGGGCTTAGCCAAGGCACAATGTGTGAATCCTCTGGAGTAGGTAAGCCTAACACGTGCAGCTTTGAGTTGCGTAACAGATGGAGATGTAAACATTCACGAGTTGCACTCTTGCTGAACTGTAAGATTAAGGTAGTAAAGGTAGACTACACGATTTTAGCCCGATTTTGCCACGATTTGCTTGACATAGGGTGTCGTGGGGATTCATAAATGACGATGGGCGTCGGGACGCAAGATTCCATCGTTTCAGCTCGTGTAGTGTGTCATAGTGGACGACAACCGATTCCGCGTCTTCGATGCTTCACGACATCACGACAGAAAGACTAGCATGTTTAATTTTTTTTCCGTCGTCCACGACGAGTTCTGTCACATTTGTTACATTGACCAATAGCAGCACAGAAGCTCTTTCATACACCGGTTTCAAACATGGCGAAACGAAAGAGAGATGATGGTGCTGCTAGGTGGAATTATGCACGACAAGATTTTAGGAGTTAAAATCGTGTAATCTGACACAGTGACTATCGTGACCGACAAAAATAGTGTGTAGTCTGAACCCAGCATAAGAGGTTGATTGATTTACAAAGCTTCTTTTTCATCAAACAGTCTTAGTCACATTTAAACCCAACTTGGCAGCTTTCATGGTAAATATGGTTATTTCTTGGTATTGTAGTTCTAAATTCAAAATCCCAACATGACTGCAGGAAAGGTTACAGTATGTATTGTGTGTACGTTGCAATTTCAGATCGAAAAGGCTGGCCTTGACTTACACTTCTGTAGATCAATGTGTTTGTCAAGTATTAGTATATCACGTGTTTAAGTGTTTTCCCAATTAAAGGATTTTAGAGTTTACTGAACCAAATCTATTTAGGTCACGCAACCTCTCTCACATACAGTCTGTAACTTTGTTTATTTTTTGGGATCAGGTAAAGGTTCCTCCTTCATGCTGTAAGCCTGCCATCAAAACTTGAATATGACAGTATGCATGGTCATTCCCAAGGTGAGGCCAAGGCTATGTTTTTTTTGAAGGAGTTCTGAACAGATTTTGCTGTAAATATAGTAATATAGAGTTTAGACCTGCTGGTAGATATTTGTAATTACAGTGCCTGGGGCTAAAAAGGATCTTTCTAGATTGTTGCCAATGGAGTAACGTGTGTATATATGTATATATATATATATGTGTGTGTATATATGGGCACAGTTTTCATTCAGTTGTCATTTTATTAAACAAATGAACATCATTCCACACAAGAAATGGTCTCTCACTGTGGCTACATATTTTTTGTGTTTTTAGCTGTATTGACTAGGGGTGTAACGATATTCAAACCAAACCGGAAAAACCGTGATACACCACCCACGTGTGTGCATACATATCGCGGTACTCTTGGTAACGAGCCGAACCGTGAGTAATCTGAACCGTTACACCCCTAGTATTGACCAATCATATTCCTTGACTGGAATCCATATGTGCTTTGAAAAAGATCACATTTTACCTTTTTGACAACATATAGCTCTCAGAGACCTGCAAGTTGTTTTTAAAGTTAATATGAGGTTGCAATGATCAGTTTAGGATGGAGGCAGCACTTTGAAACAGAGGCTCCCTCTAGTGGAAATGAAGTGTGTGTGCAAATTGTCCTTTAAAAGTAAACTGTAGTGGAGTATACTGTACAGAACAATAATATGAGACCCTGGACCACAAAACCAGTCATGAGGGTCCATTTTTCGAAATTGAGATCTATACATAATTAAGTTTTAATATATTTACAGTAGGAAATTTATAAAATATCTACATGGCACATGATCTTTACTTAATATCCTAATGATTTTTGGTATAACATAAAAATCAATCATTTTGACCCATACAATGTATTTTTGGCTATTGCTACAAATATACCCCAGCGACTTAAGACTGGTTTTGTGCTCCAGGGTCACATATCATAAACATGGTATCAGTGGGTAACCAGCCAGTCAGTGCTGTAACTACAGCGTCTTGTTTTCACACATGTACATATTGAAAATACTTGTTACATTCATGATTACAAAAAAATTTTTAAATTGGAAAGAGTTTGATATAAAACGTTACATTGTTAGTTTCGAAGAAATCAATAAAACTGCTTTAGTTCTTGAGATTACAGTGAGTGATTAGAGTTCCTCTTTCACAGCAGCCTTCTGTTCATTCAGATATTTCTTCCTCCGTTCCTCCTCCTGTAGCATATATACAAGCACAGCATGGTGAGTGCATAATGAATACAATTCATGTCTATTAATGTGAGAGTGTGATAACTTACCTTGACTTTGTCTGTTTTGGCTTTTTCAGTCTCTTTTTTCATAAATGTTACAATAGGCTTCAGCTTCCTCTTGCCAGAATATGGCACTACCTGGCAAATATTTTAGTACGATGATTACAAAATACTCATGGACTGTACTCTTATACAATACAAGCACGACTAATTTCTTTAGCCCAAAGACTAACACAATAACGTGGCTGTCCTAAATATGGATTTACAATCAATATAAGATCTGAAATATTATGCAGAGCAACGTAAACAGTTAATTGTAAGAGACTGCTTACCCTCTCTGAATAAACAGCAGGAAATAATTTGATTGATGGGTATTTTTCTCTTAGATGAATGTTTACATCGTTTGCAGTAACATCAATCTTGGCAACAACAACATCTTCATTTTCACGAAAGTGTTCAGCAAGCTCTTCCCACAATGGAAACAGTGCACGACTTCCGATGCTCCAAGGTGCATCTATTGAAATACAGTATGTTCAAAATGCTCATGTTTTTACATGGAAAATGGAAATGTCAGAATAAAGAGGTACAATCATACTTAATAAACAAAACAGCTAATCACAGGCTAAGTGAAGACACAGACTCATGATATCAAGTTGAAGCATTTTAAAATTTGAGGTACTTACAGAACAAGACAATGACATTTTTGTTATGGTTGAAGGCCACTATTTCAAAGTTCATCCCAACCAGCTCTTTCACTGGCTGTGTGTCCCAGTTTTCAGGAATTGACTCACTCTGCAGTTTAGGCTATAAATTACAAAGATATTTGAGCTTTGAATATTATAATAACATTTTTTATATATAATAGTTTTTCAAATACATTTTAAAAATATTTTAATTTCTATTTTAGTAATAGTTTTCATTTGAATTATTATTTTTTAATTTAAAAAGATAAGACAAAGATAAAAATGAAAATGAAAAAAAAAAAAAAGTATAAAAAGATGAAAATTTATTTATTTCATTTACCTCTCAATACTCACCTTTGCTTTCCCATCCAGGTATTGTAGGCAGAACTCTAAAAGAGTCTGTGTGTCAAACTTATCAGATGGCAGCTGGTATTGAACGTGGTCTGATAAATTGACCATACGTATCTGAGGCACTTCTTCTGATCTCACACGGAAATACTCCATAACACGGCCATTCCGTGGCTCACTCACATCAATCATCACAAACAGAACCTAATGATAGAGTTAAAAGAAAACAGAAAGGCTTCACTACTGGCATCCACCAATATCATAATAGTAATCCACAATATTTCTAAGGATATTTCTATTGTTGATTTGTTTATTTCATTTTATTGTTGAGCAGTACTGGATTTTATGTGGTTTATGTCTAAATATAAGTCAAATGTACTGACCTTCCCTCTGAGTTTTTCCGCAGTGGTTTTAAAAGCAAGGTATGTCTCTTCAAATCCTTCCTCAGTCTTATTAATAAACAGAAGAAAATGGTTCAGCACCACTGAGTTCAGGATCTTGGATGCTGTCTGGGAGGAACACAAAAAAGAAAGAGGTTTGTTTATTTTTATACATCTATTATATGTCCTAATGCCTATATATTAAAATACACATATATAAAATGACCTCGCCATTGTACTCAGTCACAAGTTCCATCTCATACAGTCTGATAAACTGAACAAGATCTGTCTTCACTGTGCTGCTTCCCAGCTCAAACTGCTTGTCAGGTTTAGACTAAAGAAAATGATAGACATGGGTGAGACAATTCATAATGTGCGGTAAAAAGAAGGCAGATTATTATTTTTTTGGGGACATTTTATTGATGTGTGGGCGGAAATGTTGCAGAGTCTTGAAACTCAGAAAAGAGTCTTGAAAAGCAGAAATTCTTACCTTTCTGATGAGGAGAATGGTATCTCCACTGATCTCATACTTGCTGAAGATCTCATCATTTCCTGTTACTCCAAAGGGCAGGTCTGCGATGTCAGCGGCTGTTTCATAAAACACTTTCACTATGCCTTCCTCAAGATCCTGTAGTGTATGAGCATCATTAAAAACAGTGGCGAATACAACAATGCAATAAAACATCTTTGAGTTATTTGTCCTTCATTTGAACTGATTCTTTTGAGCAAATGCACAAAACATTTGTCAGAATCCTTCATTTGAACCGTTTCTTTCAAAATAATTGAATCAAATTTGCAAAACTATAATAATAATGCTTTAAAACATCTTTAGTTATGGCTGAATCATGAATGAATCCTTCATTTCAGCTGATACTTTTGTAGGAGAAAAGCTTGTTGTCCTTTATCAAAATGATCATCAGTGAAAAGCAATAATAATACTACATTAATTAGTTAAAAATTTATGTTTTCTAAATTTTATTTTATATTGTCACTTTAAAACGTCAATTAATATTTAAATAGAGAAACTACTGAACAACAGGTCAAGAAAACATATTTAATTACAAAACAATTGCAAATCCCTCCACTGTGAGAGAAAACATAATAAATAGCATACCTAAAATGTTTTTTTTTTTTAATAACAAAAATGATACATAATACCTCAGGACTTCTGTGCACACTTTTTTATGATGATTCAAATCTGTGAAGCATATTTTCACTGAACATAACTGGGTAAAAAGACTCACTAAAATAAACTGGCAAGTTACCTTAAATAATCCCAGCACCACAAGCTCCTCTTCTCCTATGAATTTTTCCAGCTGTGTGAGATTACTGATGATGTTAGCACTCGGCCCTTTTCTTCTTTTAAGCCATGTCAGGATTGTGGCAGAGCTCTTAAGATCTGGGGATGGAGTCGAACAACAAACATTTATGGAAAACTGATCCTAAAGGGATGCATCCCTATATTCGATTTTGGAAAGGCATAAGGGTCAGTAAATAAGGACAGAATCTTGTCATATTTCAACATTACCTGGACAGTACACTGGATTGTTCTTGTTTCCAGACAGGTACAGCCGTAGTGATGGTATTGTTGTGACATTAAGGGATGCAGCAAGATCTTTTTCCTTTTTCACATCCACTCCTCCAAGTCTCACATCAGACTCCGCTTCCTTCAGCGCACCGGCTGCTTCTCTAAACTCAAGGATGGAGCCAAGGGACTGGCCAGAAAGAGGCGCATCTACAGCAGGTACAAGTAAAAGCTGCAACAGTTTACTCCTTGTTGCAAATACGCACCAAAAATTTTTTAAAAGTGCATTTTGTAGTGGTCCCAGATGTGCTGACTCTAATTCGCTATCTAGTTTGCTTCTAGTCTGTCTTCTTTGTACACTGTGTCTTCATAAGTAAATAGTCATTCAGCAGATGTTTTCATCCAAAGCAACAAACAACCCCACTTAGGTTAAATGATTTGCTCAAAGGCACAATGGTGATAGTTCATGGTTCATTGTGAAGATCGAACCAGCAACTTTCCAATTACCAGCGCTGAGATTCAAGCAGAACACCATGCCACCATTATTCACCTGAAGTGAGTTTGTTTTATGTCTTTGAAATAGATGTTAAAATCTCAGGGAAACAATCTGAGGGGTCTCAATAAAGAAAAACAAGCATTACATTAAAAAAAAAACTTTTTACTTCGAGTTGAAGTATTGATTTGTCAGCTCATGGAGCTGGATTTATGACAAGAAAGCCATAAAAACACACATGCAAGAAGAAATACTCACAGAAATGGACCAATAGCTGGTTGTGCTGTTTAAGAGCCCATTCGAAATTGCTTTTTGTCAGCACTAGAACATCTTTGTCCTCGATGATCGCATCAGAATCACTCTCCACCAGAGCTTCGCATAAATACATGCACACGCTCAGGCAGAGCGTAATGTACACCTTCATACTGCCTTCAGAAGCTGGAACAGACTCTCTGACCTTTGAGTGTGTGTGAAAGGTGTGTGTGGAGTGTACAGGTGATATAAGTGTGTACTTTGGCAATGGACCGTTTACAGCCAATACGGAGAGATAAAAGTCGAATAGTCTGAGGGTGACTTGGAGAACAATAGCTTCTTGTGCTTTTGTGTGCACAAATCTCTGTAGTCCACACAGCAAAGGTGCAGCTTGAACTCCATTAACACTGTAAGTTCAAACATTAGTGACCTAGACAAATCTGTGATAAGAGGTCGCTGTTCATTCAATCTTTGTGCGAGAATGAGTCTGGCATGGCATTAAAGCCTTTCTGTGTGAAACATAAGGGTGTGACGGATTTGGTGACCCTGCTGTACATGTCTGGTGTTGTTCACATCAGACCAAAATACTTTTTAGGATATAAAACAGAGGAGGTTAGACAACACAGTAAATTTGGATAACATTAAAGACATTTTGTGTAAAATATTGTGGGGTAATGGATTCCGGTAACCTGTAATGCTGCCTTGGCAGATTTGGTGACCCTGCTGTTAGTCTGTTACTGTTCACATCAAACCAAAATGAACAAACACATCACTTCTAACCACAGAACTTATTTTACTCCAAAATTTAAATCCTATATTCTAAAACATCCATAGTGGGTTATTAAGATAAACCAGGCTAACATTGTAGTAGTATTTCAAACTAAACATCTTGATTTGTCATAGTTGCCAGATTAGCATTTAAATACTACTTTAATGAAATAGCAAATTTTGTTAAATATCTTCAGTATATCTACATATTTGATTAAGGATTCATTTATCGAATTAGATTTGAGGAAATGCATCCAACATCTGCTTTGGTCAATGTATCAGTTTTCTTTAAAGTTGTCATAATTTCTCAGGTTTCTTTTGTTATAATGTTGCAGCTAGTGGATAGTTCCAGAAAGGCCAAATAATAGTACTTACTTTTGTTTAGTTATTTACAGAACAGCTGTACATGTTAACGTTTAGATATACTGCATCACTGGCAGTAATATGATTTAAAAGGAATAATGTGGTAAAAACCAACTACAGCTGTATTAAACAAGTTCTTCAGTATCTCACATTGTGTCTTCAGCAGCGGTCACGTATATACAGACCGTATAAGAGGTCATTAAACAACACGCACCAGTTTTGCTGAACTTTTTTTCCAACTTTGCATAGACTTGAAATGAGGCTTGACATTAATGCTCACTGTACATTAATATGTACAAAAATATAGCGAAAAAAGCCGATGAAACAATTTCTGCTAGATTAAAAAAATAATAATAATCTGACCCACCTTCTCAATACAATGTTAACAATAGAATATTTTAGGAAACTTTATTTTCCACATTTTACCTCAAGTCATTTTTCAGTATGTTCAAAAACAAAAGCAGGTGCTTTTATCTCTACATATTTTGCAGCATTACTCAATAACTCAGCCATTGTACTTAGCAGCCCTGAGATCATAACACTGGCATCATTTTAATTACCCAGTCCAACAACAACACCACCAAAACAAGACAAAGTGCAATCTCGGCCTTTGACTAGTACAACAGATTCAGAGTTGCTTTATATTTTCATTGCAAACATGTACTTGGAAATAATGCTGTAGTGTGGAATCCCACACCACCTGGAATTCATTGTTGTTCATTTAATTTCATAAATAGGTTAGGATTTTGGATCCTCACTTGTAGATCACCTCTGAGAGAGAGAAATGGCAATTGAAAAAGGTAACAACAGACAAATTCACTCAAGCATCTGCCTTAAAGTAAGTGCATTTCACTGCACTGAGGTCACATGGCTGGTCATATCATCCAAATTATAATCTCATTACTGTGAAAAAATAATTACATTATAATACTTATGCCCATTCATGATCAGTGCAATTTTTTTTAACTGCAAACAAACAACGTTTTGATTCTAAAATATACAAACAAAATGTCTCCTAATCTGCTCTTTCCATTAGAATTCAAATCCATGTTCAATCATATCAGCTCCATCTTCATGATCTTAGGAAAAGTGGCAAATTTTGCTGTAGGTAACAGTTGGCTTTTGTTTCATTCTAATGGCCATTAATGGAGTTTTCTCCGAGCATTTAGACCATCTGTGTGGATCTGGCTTCCATCTGTGTCATAAAAACAAAATGTTATTTTATCTCCTAAAATTACACTGATGTGATTGTTCAATGTAATGCTGGCTTCATTTAACCAATCAACATGAAATGACACTCATGAACCATTTTACTTACATAAGTTGGCATAAAGAACGTTAAGAACGTTTGATGATTTAAAATATGCCAGGACTTAATTTCATTCAATGAATTCATCGATTTGGAAAATAAATAAGGCACAATAAAACCAGGAACATGTATTATACAAGTTATTCAAATGTATTACAAGTAAATGGAGTCCATTTGGATTTCATGTTGATTATAAAACACTACAAAACTATAACACTGACATCATACAGTCTAGTTTATGATGTCAAAAAAGAAAAAAGGAAAACCTTAACATTTGTCAACAATAACAACAAAAAAATGTAACTTATTATTTACTATATGAAATACTTGAGACGATCAGCTAAATTAAAACTCAGACTATCAGAAAACTCATTGTAAGCATGCAATACTGGTCAAACTTCAAAGAAAGTTAAATTCAAAACAATCAGCTAAAGAAAAAGCATGACCAAAGAAATACATAATGCAAGCAAACATTAAGACAAGGGCTGCACAATATTTGAAAAACTAACATTGCAATATTTTTTCTGTGATATACACACATATACATACATATATATATATATATATATATACACATACACACATACATATATATATTAAAAATAAAATACAGGAATTGTCCCCAGATTCTGTAAATAGCTATATTTAGAAAAAATAAATAATTCTAGAATAAGTGGGGTGATGGGAGAGCATCTGCTTAGAAAAAAAAAGCTGGAGATTTGTGTGTGTGAAATTCTTTTAGGACTGCAAGATTTGGAAAAAAACTGAAAAATCTTGGTGTTCATACTTGGATTTACAATTTACAAGAACCAGTAACACCAGTAAAAAAATATTAATTCCCACTGTTTTTGACCAATTCAGTATGACTATATAATAATAATAATAATAATAATAATATTGATTTTATTGTGATTATTGATTATAATACTGAGGTTGTGATATTGAAAAAAATGTAAACAAATGTTGTAATACTGTAAAAAAACTATAAATTAAAAAGTAAAAAAAATAAATAAATAAAACAATTTACTTTTTTACGTATTAGTTTTGTTTTTAGCATTATTATTTTAATATATTGTGCAGCCACAATTAAGACGAAAACAATGAACAATGTAAGCGCGTTTCAACTGTCCCTATGAGCTTTCCCAAAAGGGTGTAAATTTACCTAAACCAAAGAGCCATGGTGTTAAAGAAAGAAGAGGAGCAGGAGAAGAAACAGGGACAGACAGAAGATGAACTGTGCTAGAGCACAGCATGGAGTTACCTGAAATAGGAAAGAGAGGAGGAAGAAGAAGAAAACACCAGGATGACAAATGCAACATTACAGTGATGGAGCAAAGTGCTTTACACATGACACCAGAGTTGGGCTTCAGCGTGTGAAGTGTGTTATTTAAAATGCTAAAATGGTTCAGGAAGAGAAAACCTTTTTGGAATCAATACCGTTTTGTGCAGCAATTGGAGCATAAATAACACACTTTACCTTTAAACAAAGAGATGATGCTTACCAAGTTTCCACTGTTATTTTCAGGATCAATATCTGCTCACCGTGTGCCAGACCATGCTGGAAAGTTCCAGGTGCTGGGCCAGGAAAAACAGCTCCTTTGCAGGCCTGAGGCTGTCCAGGGAGTTTGGTGCCAGGGCTGAGCCCAGGGAATGGGAGAGCATGCAGGGGGGCAAAGCTCGGTAAGACACCAGGTTGTACTGTGGTGGGGTAGGAGGACGGAAGGAGGGATAGAGAAGGGGTGGGAAGCGCTGGGTTCCCACAGGAGATCTCACCAGCTGCCTGAAATACAAGCAAAGTAAAACGTAAGTATTATTCAGTCCAACTATAAATAAAACCATTTGAAACATCAGTGCTTCAGACAAATCCAAAGTAATTGACTGAACTTTTTGGGAGTGTTAGGTATAATAATATATGCATTATACTGATCAAAAGCGACAGTGAAGATATTTAGAATGTTTACAATTTATAATGTTACAAAGGACTTTCAATAAATGTAGAACTTTCTATTCATTAAAGAATGTATAAAAAAGTAACACAGATTCCACAAAAATATTAAGCAGTTCAACATTTTTCACCAATAATAATAATAATAAGAGTTGTTTCTTGAGCAGCAAATCAGCATATTAGAATGATTTCTGAAGGATCATGTGACACTGAAGACTGGAGTGATGGCTGCTGAAAATTCAGCTTTACATCACAGAAATAAAGTACATTTTAAAATATAGTCAAATAGAATATATATTAGTGCTGTCAAACGATTAATCGCGATTAATTGCATCCAAAATAAAGGTTTTTGTTTACATAATATATGTATGTGTGCTGTGTATATTTATTATGTACATATAAATACACACACATGCATGTATATATTTAAAAAAATATGTTATGTTTATATATTACATATTTATTTATAATATAAATTATATGAATATAAATATAGACATGTAAATATTTTCAAAATATATACTGTATGTGTGTGTATTTATATATACATAAATATACACAGAACACACACATATATTATGCAAACAAAAACGTTTATTTTGGATGCGATTAATCACAATTAATCGTTGGACAGCACTAATATATATATATATATATATATATATATATATATGTGTGTGTGTGTGTGCGTGTGTATTTTTAAATCATAATAATCTCACAATATTACTATTTTACCATATTTTTGATCAAATAAATGCAGCCTTGGTGAGTATAAAAAGACAAAAACACCCCAAACATT